TAAAAAAAAAAAAAAAACAGTTTTGATGGGTTTAAAAGTTTGGTTAAATTCAATGCATAAACATTTTGAATTTCTCTATTTTCAAAGTGATGAGAAGACCAATTTTAATTTAATAATAGCATTTGATATTAATATCATGGAAATGATTATAAAAAAATTCCATTGAGAATAATTGTTCCTTATATATAATAAAAAATTGAGTAAAGTTTTCATTAAAAAAAATTTTTTTTTAAATAAAAATTTTGATTAAAATTTTTTAAACTCAATAATTAGTTTTAGCTATGATCCTTATCTAAAGATGTAATAAAGATGTCGATTTTATAAATAAAAAGGAAATTTTGTTTATATGTATGTTTGCTGCTACAAACATACATACAATTTAAAATGCTCCACAAGAAAATTATTTTCATCATCATTTGAGAGAAATTTTTAATCTTTATAAATATTTCTGTAAAATACAAGGGAGCAAATCTGTGCAAAAATATGTAAATAAAACAAAATTTATTTTATTAAGAAATCAAAAGAAAAAACAATGAAATTTTTTGACATCATGATGGAAGCAAATACTCGATATATCGTCATCAAGTCACAAAAGTGTATGTAGTTTATAAACATGTTTAGTATCTTCATATGATAACCCAAACATTGCTGAATACATCAGCTTATTTTCTAAATAATAATGAATTCTTTTTCAAAATGTATAAAACTTTTCTAATGTTTTTATTGTAATATCACATTGTAATGGAAAAACAACAGTAACTTAGCATCTACTTTATCTTCATTAAGGATACATGAGTTTCTTCTGTGAGAGGCTGTTAAAGTATCACTTTTATTGATTCCTTTTTTATACTCTTTTAGACTATCTTCTAGAACTCTAGTATACACTTCTCAGATAAAATACAATATAATGATTTTTTGATGTTAAATGTATATCCTGTATTACACTGTTTTTAATTTGGAAAAAGGTTTCTTTTCATTTTTCTTTTAATCAGAACATAAGTAGAGAGTTTTTAAAAATACATAATAAGTTGATATTTAAGAAATATCAATTTTTATTGTCTATAAACTCAGCAGACAAATAGAGGAACCTACTATATCTTTCTGTTGATGACATTGAAGAGCTTACGTCTTTGGACACATTTTCCCATATTTGAAAGTCTAAAGAATAAGCTAAAACTAATCATTAAGTTTAAAATTACTACTAGAAATGGGAATGAATGTAAACAATAGTTAAATTATTCATAAATGCTTAGTTAAGGAATAATAAAATTTAATTGTAGCTAAACATATTTAAAAATTATTAATTTACATTTTAATATTTTTTAGCATATTATATAATTTGATATAAATTTGAAGAATACAAATATTAATCATTTTCATAGAAAAATTTCTGCTCATAATGAATAAAAATGAAAATATAGTATGTTAAACAGTGACTAATTTTAATGCAAAGATTAACAATTATAATTTGTTACATAACTCATAGAAAATATTATTATTATTATTATTGTTGTTTTATTTTTGTAATAACAATATTATATTTATAAGAGACTTTACAGATAGATGGAATGATTTTTTTTGAACAACATAACTTAGTAAATCTAAATCTATTGCTTTTATTATAATAATGAAGCACTTGTTACATAACATTCTTTACAGGATTCAAATTATTATAAATAAAAAATTTTTTAAATCATATATATAATCACATTATTTCTGTACTATAATTTAAACAGCAACTAGGCTTATTATTGCAAGTTAATATACTATACAGTAGTACTGATATCTAGCATTTTAAAAAAAAATATAACTTCTAATAATTTATTATAAGCAAGTTAAATAAATAAGATCTTAATTAGTTCTTACCAATATAAACCATCTTGGTTGCATTTCTTTTCGAGAAAGTTTCATAAGTTCGCCTTCTTTCAAGAATATCTAAAAAAAATTTGTATTTAATATTTACTTTCATGTTATAAATTATAATGTTAAAATTGTATAAAATTATTATTATTAAAACAACTACTCTTAAACTGTAGGATATGATTCAAAAGAAAAATAAATATTTCATAAAAAGCCATAAAAAGATTAAGAATTTTTATGACAAACCAACTTAGTTATGTGTGTTACAATTTGATTTTGATTATATTTTTATTTTATTCATTTATTTTTGTAACGGTTTGTCCATGATAGGAGGGAGCCACCCTTGCTTTTCGTGGATGGGTACTTAAGGTGTATTCTTTTGTTTCTTACTATTTTTGTGTTGTGCGATTCATCAGGAGAGAAAAAAGTGGACAAGCAAATAAGAACTATGAAAGTGGAAGTGTATAGAACTTTATATATTTTTTATCCATTTGCATCAGCATTTTTGGGAACGACTCTTCCATACGAACAACCTCAGGACTTTTCTATTAATTGGATTCAACATGGTGAAATAGTTAGTTTTGTGCCAAAATGGGAAAATTTTGTAATATTAACTTCACGTGATTAATATTGTAGTCTTGCCATTTCATTGTACAAATTAAATCAGATTCCCCTTAGTCTGTAACTATTGGAAATTAAAGTTATATGGTAAATAACTAAGTTCATTTAGTTAAATAGTTATATACTAAGTTATACAGTATATATTTTTCATCCATGTTAAACACTCATGCAATTATTTTTATATAGATACATATATGTATCTATATAAAAATAACTGTTTATATTGGGTTGTTTGGAAAGTAAATTCGTTTTTTTCTGTGAAAAAAAACAATATTTTTATAATAAATAAATATTTTGTTGAATTATTTATTGACCATTTTGGTCAAATACCTGTTGTCATCGTTTCTGGTAGTAGGCTGATTTCACATTCATAAAAGTTTTGATTGTTGCTTACAAAAAACTGATCCAAGTGATTTTTGACATTGTCATTTCAAGTAAATGTCTTACACTTATGAAAAATTTGTATAGACCGGAACAAGTAATAATCTGAGTGTGCTCAGTCTGGCAAATATGGTCGGTATGATAGCAGGTCCCATCTAAGTTATAACAGTTTCTGACGAGTTACCAAACTTGTGTGAAATTTGACATTATCGTGGTAAAACACTACACCTGTTTTGTTGATCAATTCTGGCCGCCTTTTCTGTTTAATGATATTACTCAATTTCTTTACTCAATGGCAGTACACTTTCAAATCAATTAAATTGTCTGGTAAAAGCTCCAAAAAAAATTTCCTTAAAATCCCACCAAAGATAGCAGCTCTCCTTAAGAATATGTGGAACTCATATATCAAGCGTTGAAACAAAACCAATTTGTTTCAAGTAATCATAAACAGTTCAATTTGACAAATTTAATCTCTTAGTGATTTCAAGTGTTATTATTCCGCAGTTTGCTTCAATCGGTACCTTTTATTTTGTTTTCATTGGCTTCAATTGGCCATCCATAACGTGATGCATCTTCAACACTAAAATTGCAAGAATGAAATTTTGTAAAGCAGTTTTAGCACTGTTGTTCTGTCAACACAACTCCACTATACATGTCACATGATTTTTTTCTCGCTTGAATGGCATTTTTATTTTTTTGGTAATAAAAAAGCAAAATATGTCAAAAATGCCGCTTTCGATCTTCCATATTTGATGAGACACAAAAAATAAATAATTGCACAAAATCAAACAAAATTTTTTACAAATAAACCTTAAAATGCTAGCTGTCAAAATATATAATGATAATACAGTTTAGAATAAAAATGATGGAAAAAATACAACTAATCCATCTAGTGGTAAAAAAAAAAACCAAACTTACTTTCCGAACAATCCAATAATTAAAGTTTAAGACAAAACCTTTTAATATTAGAATTAATGTTAGTTTAATGTTAAATGTTAAGAAATGTTATTTTAGATAAACTATGAATGTTGGAATATGTTTATCTGTCATATCATCATTCAAACAAAACTGAACAACATAGCAACAATGTATAATTTTTGCAATATTCAACTAAATCAAATAGATATAATAGCCAATCTATTAATAATTAGGACATTTGCTAATATAAATTTATATACTTTTTAATGATACAATCAATATATTTGTATTATTTTATTATTTAGCAGCAAGCTTGCCCAACATTGACATAGTCTAATGAACAAAAAATCATTAATGATAAGTAATCACAGTAATTATTGTATAAATGTTTATAAGCGCAATGTTAACAGAAATAACAGTAGAATAATTTAAAATAAAACCAAATACAGTTGAACCTGTCTATCTCATATATGTTTATCTCAAATAACCTTTATCTCAAAATTTATTTTACCCCATATTTTTAGCCTAAATTTATATTATTCAATATATTTTCAATGTTTATCTCAAATAATTTTCTTCCAAAACCTCTACATCTCAAATTATGAACTAAAGTGTCTGTTAGAAATTCAAAAGCTCAGAGACTATACTTTCATAGCATAAATTGTAGTTGAGAAATATCTCTTGCAATACAATACTGTACATATTGTAGTTGCATTCACACCACTTTTCTCTGATTGGCCATGAGTTTAGCATGTTTCTTACAGGTTAAAGAAAATCAGGTATCAGAAAGCACTGACAAACTATTTCTGTTAAGATATGTCAAAAAATGTTTTATTTATATCTAATACAGGTATGCAATGTTCTGCTATTGTATTAATAGAACTGCCATACCTCCAATCCAATCCTCCAATTACTTTGTAGAAACCTGACTATCTGGAATTTCTTTCTCATTCTAGTAAGATTTAAAATAGACAAATACACCTATTTTATTTTAAATTACTAAAGTAATCAAGAAGTTTCTAAAATACTAAAAATGTTCAAAATAATGAAAATGATTGAATTTATTGAAAATAAACATTAAAAAAATATAGTATTAGCAAGACATTAGTTATTCTAAGAAAACTTGGTTTTACCTTAATAAATATTTATTTGAACAAATAAGAAAGTTTCCAGGGAAGATAGAATCCAAGAATTTTGTGCTATTATATGATTGATACAAAAATGCAAAATACATAAATAGACTATGTAATATAATTAAAAAATGGAAATAAAAGTAATATGTGAGAAACTAATGGCTATAGGGGAGTCCCTATAAACCACTTAATCGGCAACAATTTGGTAGAAACTGCTCACTTTGTCTGTGGATGGCTTTAACATCGAGGGTCTTTAGATTGAGAGGGGAGTGCAGTGGATAAGTTGATAGGTGACTCAGTTTCTGATGAATAGACAGGTAGACAGGTTTACGAATAACAAAAATAGTTTATTATATTCTAAATCTACTATATACATAAGGATTATACAGTAGGCGATTAAATGCAGTTAAATATAAAATCTTACAAGGCAGTGACTAATCTAGTTCCTATGCCACTTGGGGCATGCCCAATTTCTCAACCACGGAGAGATAGTTTACAAATATCTACTAATACCTCGAATATTAGTTATTGGTTGATGTGACATTCGTTCTATCGTATGGAGAGTTCAAAACCGATGAATGTCTTCCAACTGGGGTCTTCCCCTGTGACTGGATCAAGGTCCATTCAATGGAGGTCCGGGAGACTAGAATGGCCACTATCAAAGATATAATTTCCTGATGACAAGTGCCCGGAACTCCTGGTGTCTCCACTTTTTATACTATTTGCGGTGGGAACTTAGTCATGTGATCATCAGTTATTTAGAATATGAAGGTTACTTTCACAGGTGTGCAAGCTTGGCGACGTCTTTCATTGACACATTGAGTCTCTTTCCGCTTCTTTCATAACTGGATGTTATCGTTTCACAACTGCCTGTTAACTTTCCCATCCATCTGTTGATAGTAGAGCTGTCATTTAATCCATGTTCGATGTGATGTTTTTTCTAATTATTGCGATGGATGTTTACTTAAAATTTCTATTAAAAATGGATTTAATACCCCTAAAATCATCAATCTCACAAATACATAACCATAATGATTATAACATGATAACATTGTCAAGTGAAAATTTATGTATTCTGTTGTCATTGAAGAATAAGCTGAACTGTAAAAAGAAAAGACACAAAAGAATTTGAACAAACATTTGATTAATAAGAAATTTGTTACAATTCCTAATCACACACATGATGAATGTAACATTGCAAATTTTCAGAACTTACATAAGCAGGTATGAATAACTCAATTTGTATTACAAGTTGTGTACAAAAAGAATATATATTTGCATGTATTCCTTTTATGTATTTTTTAAGACATTTTTATGATATATTCCATAAAACTATATATACAAATATACATTTGAGATATTATTGTTTAGTCTGAAACCAAAAGATAATTTATGGTAAAACACTTGACAAAAACTACCAAATTATATTTAATCTTGCTATTACAACAAATATAAAATACTTATATGAGTAATGAAGTTCAATTCTAGTTGTTTAAAACATTTAAACTTTAAGCTATATTCATAAATTTTTCATGAGATACCATCATGGAAAAAATATATTTTCCATTTAGTTGTATTAATTTATTGTTAATTAAATTTTAATGTTATCAGTTAATTTTAATCTTTTATTTACAGTTACATTATTGCATATATCATATAAAATAAATCTAATCACAGATATCTTTTTAACATTTAGTTTGAAAATCATAAATTTTAAAGTATATATTTACAAATTTTGATGTCATCTGTTTGAATTGTTACAATGTACTGTACACACATATATTAACAATTAAGTGCTTTAGAGAAAGGTGTTTAAATCAATCAAAATAAAAAGTTAGTTTTATCTGAAATTTGTTCTTACTGGGATATAAAAAAGGTTCTAGTGTGTTGATTAAAAAGTATGTTTTGGTAATTTTTACTTTTTAACATAGCATTTATATCTGTTATATATGATTAGTGTGTTAATGTTTTATTAATAAATTTACATAAATTTCTTTCATTAAAAGCTATAGGGGCATTATTATAATAGATCAATGAAAATTTAAACAATTAAATATTTATTTTACATATTATCAAAAAGAAATGTTTTAAATCATTAATTAGTGATTTAATTCTGGTAAAAAATTTTATTTAAAAAAATCCAATATACATATATTCTCACTAATTTTAACTAATTTTTCTATGAAGTTGTTTAAGATTAGCATGATTATATTGTATATAATGAAAAAAAATCAGAAATGATTGCAAAAAATAGGTAACTTTGTTGCATTTGCATAACAAAAACAAATTTTCTTTTTTGTTGCATTTAGTGTATGCATGTATGTATATTAATGCTTTACATTAAAATGAGTAGAACATATTAATTGTGAATTCCTTGTGTTTTACAAAAATAATCTATAATTTCTTTTTGTTTTTCTCTGAAAGATTTTGTGTTGTTTTTCCCAACAATACACCAGTTTGAATTAAGCTGCATTTAGATTAGTAAGAACACACTATACTTATTTAATCACATTTATCAATTGTATTCTCTGTAATATTCTGATATTCAAATGATTTAAAAAACAATAAATATAAGGAAAATTATAAAATACTTCTGAACTTGATCCTGCATTATAAAAAAATAGATATTTATTAATTAGAAAACTTACTCTTCCTGGCCGAACAATTTCATATGATCCTAATATACTATTCTGTATCGATACCAATTTTTGAAAATTATCCTAAAATTCAAAACACATTATTAAATTTCAATTATTACTAATTGATATCAAATTTTAAGTATTTTTTAAAGTTAACACATACTCCTAATTTTAAGGTTTCATTAGCATGATTGGCAACCTCACTGACTATTTGTAATGCATTCACTGTATCAGCATAATCTGGGGAATCTTCTGTAAGATTCTGCAAATATTCTTGCAATAACAGACGATATTGAGGTATTCTTTGAATAGGTTTAAGCATATAATGCTTTAATGCAAGCTTTTTACAATGTGAACTCATCTGAAAATAGATCACTTAAAATTAAAAACTAGATTTAATGAAAAAGTTTATTATAAATTATTTATTATAGAGTTTATTATTATAATGTATTCATTATAATCAAAATTATATTGATAAATTAATAACATGTTGATTATAAAAACTGCAATTAAATTTATTCATTCAACACATTAATCTAATTATCTGTTGATTTCTAGATCATTTTAAGATGTGAAATCAATTATAGTATGCCATTATTCATGTTTTAAAGATGTTTCTGATGCAAGAAAAAAATTGGAAAGGAATATTTTTTGCATTTTCAATTTTATATATATATTTCCAAGAATTAATTTAAAGAATCTGTCACATATGAGTGTTGGTTAGATGTGTGGCCTGATCGCCAATAGATGGTGGTGAGCCTGGTCTACTGCATGTGGCAGATTTTTTTTCCCTTTTTCTACCTTCCCGCCAGAACCAGTTTTGTGTGAGAACTGGTGCTAGAGAGTACTGTAGTTATGTGGCTCTTTGTTACTCACAATAAAGTTTACCCAGTCTCTGTAGGTCTACTCTACTTATTTTAAACTGTTCAATGTAACCTAACATTACAGAATCCAAAAACAGTGTTGCAATATTTATAATGACAAATTTCAATTTTTTTCGAACTGGGATTTAAATTGTAACATACAACAATTATTACTAAAACAATAAATACTAATAAAATTTTAGTTAAATGTGCAACATCCATGATTTGTCTGTCATGCTCAATATCAAGTATATGACATCAAATATGTTTGATAAACTAATTTCAGTTCAATTGCCAATACTATCTTCAGAAATAGGAAGTGCCTATGGGCTTGCCATTATTGGCTATTTTAGCTGAACTTATCATTCAGGATATAGAGTCCAAAGTTTTGGCTCCTCTCACAATTTGTTATCCTGCTTTATTTTAAAGAAAATGATAAAATGACATTCATTTTGAAAAAAACAATGTTATTCTTGACTTATAAAAACTTGAAAAACTGTTATTTAGAATTCTTACTGCTTTAAATGCAAGTTTAGTTCTAAGTTATTCCATATTTAGGATTTAGTCTTTCTCTTTTGGACAGGTATGTGAGTAATATATTAAAGTTTAAGATATGAATAATGTTCATGGAAATTATGAACAAAAATATATATTTCATGAAATATATATTCTATTCATAATCATTTTTTAACTTAATATTTTGATATAATATGTCTATTAGATAATCAAATCAGCAAAACATTGGAAATGATGAGAATCAATTAATAATTTCCTTAAATGATTGTTTTTTGAATATTTATTTGCAATTTTATTTACAATTCATAATCCTTTTATTAAATTTAATAATAGTATAATATCCAGGCTATAAAAACAGTTTTTCTACTTTACGAAAAAATATGTAAAATGGAACATTTGTAGATAGATATTTTTGTTTGTTACAATAAGGCAATGTAAGGAAAATCTGCCAAAGTAGTGGTACTTCCGAGAAGAATTTTCTATGAAAGACTGACTCTTATTTAAGTGTGAAACATGATGAGGCAGAAAGATGAGGCAGAAACTCCAGCCAGTGTGTCTGTTAGCAAGATGTGAACCAAAGATCAATTACATGTATTTAGTGGTTTTATCCACTTAGTCACAAATTAATTTAGATATTTTTTAAATCTGTGTATTCTTTTTTAAAACAAAAAGTTTTATATGTATTTACATAAAAACTATATTATTTATATAGATAATCTGATATAAATAAATTACAGATTTTCGTATTTTCTAAACAAACAACTTGACACCTAAACACTAATTCCAGCATAAAATGAATGAATAAACTTTAATGTTTGAACATTTTCGGCCGTCTTTCAGAGGCCCTCGTCAGGAATGTATAAAACACAAAAAACGGTTCTATCTTATGAAAATTTCTAACCATCGAATATAGCTGTGTACCAATTTTTAAATATTTAAATGATATACAACACAAAAGTCATTATAAATTAATTATTATTATTATAGTGTTGTTAAAGTTAGTCCAATGTTTTACCCTATAGACAATGTTCGATGAGGAAATTGTTTTCTTTACATTGCAGAAAGATACATACATAATTACACATAAAAATTATTGTTGTGCTTTGTGACTTTGTAAATAATACTTCCACAATTGTGGAACCAGAATATAGTTGGAGTTAATGTAACCTCACTTCATGCCCTCTATTTTCTGGCTTTTATCTAACACAAAAGACAAGTCTAATGACAAGAAAGTGCTAGGAGTGCACTGCATTCCATTGCAGGATGAACGTTTAAATATGTGGTAGTCTCTGAGGTAGGACAAAGTCGTACCTCTTTACTTTTTGTTGGCAAACAGGCCAATAAGCTTGCCCACTTGTCTGCAGATGGCTTATCTACTTTAACTTCCGGTTTCAGTTAAATCAAGTGGAGGAGATGGGTGAGGTCGTTGGTAAGGCGCTGGTGATATATGAGTAAATGGACACCATTTAACAAAGAACCAACTTTTATTAGACACTTTAAGCAACAATTACAAATTCTAACATAGACTGCAGACCCTAGCTTCCTAATAAGCGTAGGGCAGTCCGAGAGACAGTTTACATTAGTTCTTTATCATACCTCTTCAATTCCTTGTACAGAGTGGCAGATCTTTACAGCAGGTGAGGTTCATCGAGATGATCAGATAATTGGGTCGAGGCTGAGGATTCCAGGTTCCGGAGGGTCATGTCGGCAGGTTGCTCGGGATTCGACAGCCAGGTTCCTTTTTTCTAACCTACACCTAGTTTCTTCTTGGACACTCTCAACCCTTTGGTTCGTGTGTCTCTCCCTTTTATCCCCCACGTCACATTATCTTTTTATGCCAATCATGATTTTTCTCCTTTACTTCCCCGTGACACATTCTCTAAGTCCTCTGGGGAAGGAACTGACTCGGGGAGGAAATGTGATCATTCCTCGTTTATGGTTAACAAAATTTCGAAAGATGGAAAAATTTAGAGAAAAATTTTCTTTAATTTCGTCAGGTCCGGGCCTCACAAATAGATGTATGACATACATTGGATCCACATACAGATCACTTGAGGCTAGAATATGTGACCACAAATATGACGTGTCTAAGGGGAAATATAATACTGCACTATCCCAGTATGCTACCGAACCCATGGTTTCTCCATGTTGGGATGAAGCTACACTTTTACATAGAGCCTTTGACCAACATAACTTACACTCGTTGGAGGCTTGAGATTTATATAGAGGGCATGAAGTGAGGTTGCATTAACTCTGACTATATTCTGGTTCCACAATCGTGGAATTATTATTCCACGATTGTATTATTGAAATGTATTATTGTGGGGAGTGGTAGTAGCCCAGACGACACCCTTGTGGGGTTGACCTTTCGGTTAAAGACCCTCGCTTTGCCCACGATCTGTCAGGATGATGCGAGAAAGCCTTTTCCGTACGGGGTAGTGGTTTGCTGGATGCAAAGACAACTCACACAGAGATTGTATTTACCAATTCAACGCATTTATTTGACAAAGACATGCTTATAGATAAAGTCCATCCAGATGAGTGTTTCTTTCCCAAACAAAAGAGTTCGTCTCCAAGGATAAGTTGATTTAGAGACAGGAGAAAGTTCGTCTCCAATCTAAGGTGTTTCTGGAGGCTGGGAGAGTAGAGATCCATGCCTGGAAGTTGTCTCTCTGTTCGCACCGGTCCGGATAGAGAAGTATGCTTGGAAAGTTAAGTTCCTCACCCTTGCTGCACTTGTTCAAGTTTTGAGTCTTCTCCTCCATAATCCTGGTTAGAATCTTAAGAACAGACTAACTTGTTGCTGATCTCCTACTTACAACCTCCCTATGTCCTTGGGATTTCGGGCTTTTATATCCTTTCTCTTCCTGAAATCCCGAGATTTTGGTTGGTCCAAATGATGGTCCCCTGTAACTCTATTGTCTGTTTCCAGGAACATGATTCGGGCCACAGGGTCGCCGAACATCCCTGTCCAGGCCATTCCCCTCCAGAGTCAGGTCAAGCCCTTTCCTGGATGATGGACCCATAAATTTTACCTAATGTGTATTTTTCTGTCCTGGAGAAAATGCACCTGTCTCAGCCACTGCCCCCTCTACAGGAGTGTCAACAGGTTCCACTTTGAACTCTCTGTAAGGTGACTGTCCAAAGTTACCCCGGCGGACGATCCCTCTCTCGTTCTCACAATTGACAATCGTGGATCTGTCAATTAGGTCTGGAATGAGACAATTAAATTGTTTTGCACCCTGTTCCTTGGTCACACCGGTCCTATTTATGTAATAAGTCACCAATTTATTGACTTTAGCTCGACAGCCGGTTCCCATCCGGGGGTGTGTCCCAGCCTCACATTATTTACAATGCCACAAAGCACAATGATAATTTTTTGTGTGTAATTATGTACGTATCTTTCTTCAATATAAGGCAAACAATTTCCTCATCGAACATCGTCCATAGGTTAAACATTGGACTAACATAAAAAAATATAAAAAAAACACTTGACTAACTTTTACAATGCTATAATAATAATGAATTTATTTATAGCTTTATAATTTATATGTTATAACGATTTTTGTATTCTACATTGTTTAAATATTGGAACACAGCTATATTCGACAGTCAGAAATTTTCAAAAGATAGAACTGTTTTTTGTGTTTCATACATTCCTGATGAGGGTCTCTAAAAGACAACCGAAAACATTCAAACATTATAAAGTTTATTTGTTCATTTTATGCTGGAATTAGCATTTAGGTATCAAGTTGTTTGTTTAGTATATAGTTCCAGTTTATATGTGCCATTTTTTTTGTCTGATTTCATATTTTCATTCATAAGTAATATTACTTCACTTGCCAACATGTTAAATAAAATCCATATATAAAAATATAATTCAAAATAATATTAAATATAATAATAACCTCAAGAGTTTAAAGCAAAAGAATTTGCTGAAAAATTTAATGAAGTTTAAATCAAGGAAAGATCATAGTAGCAAGATCCAGGAGACTCTTAATAAGATTATTATTATTTTATAGAACTAAAGTGCTAGAAAATTTAGGTTCAGCTGATGACAGCCAACTACTGAGTCAATCTGGATCTACAAAACAGATCATAAACATAACTTAGTTAACTGCAGAGATTCAGTTTCTCCCCATCTTCCCTAGAAATGTTTTATCTTCAAATTACATTATTCAATGTCTAAATATCATATTTCAAAATTTATTTTTTTAATTTCATAATTACAAATAATTTGTTTACTACTCATTTCCACAGGAATATAGTTGTTTGCAACATTCTACATCTTTGTAGCATTCCTGAGATAAGTTTAAGCATAAGAGTACTAGAATTTGTGATTATGTTTTTTCTTTGATTTTAAATTTCATTAAAACAGGTTTTTCACCATTCAAAATAGCAATTTTGAATGGTGAAAAAAGTAACTTACAATTTTATCATTATCATTTTTTATGATCAAACAATAACTTAATTAATACTGTATTTATATATTCAAATTTAAATATTTTACATAATTAATAACTAACTTCAAATTCTTTAGTAATTTGATCAAACAGAGGATATTTTCTGCGAGCATCATCAAAAGCAGCTTCTAATGAATCAAAGTCTCGTATATATGAAGAATATAATTTCAAAAATGGTCCAATTTTTACTATCACATCAGCAATTTTTCCAGTTTCCTCCCTATTTTCAAAAACAAAATAAGTGCATAAAAATATACTTAAGTTAATTTATAATTTCTTAAAAAATAAATAAATTATATATTTTCTGTATAATTCAAATCACATTAATACTAAAATAAAAATCATGTCTACAATTAATCCTAAAAATTTACATTTAAATCATTCAGAAATTAATCTGTACTATATCAATTTTATCCATAATTTTGAATTTATTTTTAAAAAGCACAATTATATCTTTCCCTTTATTGAGGCATACTACTAGCAAAGCCTCTTCTATGTGGCTTACAGAATTGTATTTGTTCTCAAAATTTGTTTGATCAATTTTGATAAAACTTTGCCATTTCCCATTAATTGTGATGATAAATTAAAAAATGTAGTAAAAATGGAGACCCATGACTTTTCCTTTGAGATACAGTGGGTCAAAGTGACAATGTCCATGGCAAGACTGAGCATATCTAATGGAATTTAGGAGCAGAAATAAAAAAAAACCAGCATTGCATATGCCTAACAGAAAATGAGCACAAAAAACAAAATGCAAGAACAAAACATCACCACTGAGCAAATGTAAGGATTGTCAGTCTGTCCCTGGCAATTATAAGGATCACCTCTTCCATGTCCAGCAGGTGCAAGGATTGACTCTTCATGGCTGAAAACTGTAAGAATTGTCTTCTTGTGTGATCAGCAACTGTTTTCTTCTGATCATACATATACTTTCTCTTTCTCATTTTCACACACACACCCTTATATACACCAGAGCAAAAAAACGTTTCTTTAGTGTTAACATTTTCGATGCCCCTTCTAGGCTCTTTTTCAGGCATTTACTTAAATGCCTGAAGAGCCCAAAAAGGGGTGTTTAAAACATTAGCACTGAAGAAACATTTTTTGCTCTGGTTATTTGGTTTGAAGTAAGAAGATTTAAATTTCAACCTGGTGTGTTAGGAAGTTAAACCTTATATACACATTCAAACACATGTCAGAACTTGGTTAAATGAAGCAAAATATAATTTACATGTACTAATACTTATTAAAAAATTTTTAATTATAAAAATGCAGTGTCTACCTCAATTCTATCATGACACAACAAAGTTGCACAGCATCCCTAGTCAATAAATTTTATTTTTTATTTATAATATGAAATGTTTATTTAGAAATTTATTCTCTCTTATCTAAACTGTAAGAAATTTCTTCATTAATTCAATTTAATAAATTTATTTTTATAGCATTCATTCCATAAATTAGCAACATTTAGGAAGCAGATAAGAATTTTGCATAAGAGATCTATCATAGAAAGCTAATTATTACTAGGACATCATGTGATTTTGTCATATCACAATAGAATTGAAGCAGAGCTGAAAGGAAAAAAGCAATCCCTGCACCTGATAGACACAGAAAAGGTGATTCTTATACCAGACAGATGCAAATAGGTAAACTTTGCACTTGCCACCACAAAAAGAGGCTTTTGTGAAAACCATGGGGGTGGAGCGTCGTGCTCCTCCCCACTTACCAGCGGCTCTTATCAGATATGGCTATATAGGAGGGCAAATATTTGAGTGGGGAGGGATAGTGAGGTCGTGACAAGGTGTCCGAATAACTACACAGGTTGAACAACAAGAACACATTTAATAAACAACTAAGAGATTATACATATCAAAGGAAAAAGCATAAACGACACATGCATAAATAATAAAAGGAATCTATTCTATATCTACATTCTATCCTAAACTAAAGAACGAGAGAGATACCTCTCTAAGAGGGACGTGTTGGAGAGAGAGAGAGAAAGAGACAATTCGGTCAAGGGTTTACCTCCTGGGATTCGATCTAGTCATATTAGGCATTGGTAGGACGCATTGGAATCAGAGGTTTCTAATCAGAGTTTCCCTTGGATGGCGGTATGGAGCAACGGATGGTAAGGTGGTATGGAGCTGGTGTCCCTTGATGTTCGATGTGGGGGTACGCTCCGTTGATCTCCGACTGTAGAGGTCTGCATGGAGATGTCCGCTGAGGGTGTTTACCTGGTGGGGTTCTCTTTAGCTGTCTGCCTGAAGTTGCAAATTTGACCCCTTTTTATACTTATCTCAGAGGGGGAATCATGGGGAAAGAAAATCTGATGCAATCGCCAGCTCGACTTGTGCACAGCTGTGTTTATGTTCTTGTCATCCCTTCCATCCAATATTTGACATCTTCCCATCATAACTTTGTCAAACTCCCTGATTTATTGACATGAGGTGACTCATGTCAGAATATGTCTCCTCACCTTAGTAAAAATCATTGCCTTATTTGGTCATTTAGATTGACTTTCTCATCGGTTCACTCGGACTTAGAGGTGATCACGGGGTTTCGTTTTATCCTCGCCGGTGACCTTTTGTTTACTCTCTAGACAGTAACAGGTGGTTGTCGATGTTAATTGGCTACTTATCTGCACCTTATATTCACGTTAGAATTGAACGATTCCCTGGTGTGAGGGGAGTCCTTCTTTGGACGATTAAAGTCACCTTTGAGGTGACGCAGTACACTGAGGTATCAAAAGGTCTACTCTTTACTTCACGAGAGAGGAAAAGAAAAAGGAAATAATGATAAAAATAAACTATACCAACGTGTGAAAATTTACACCTGAGTCCAAATTCTCACACTATCCCACAACATGCAGGCCATGGGAGACACGATCCAAGAACAAAGCAATTGATGGCTTGCTTTGTTCTGTTTTGTTAGTTTTCCGTAACTATTTTTTGTTAGGCACACTTAATACTGTTTTTATTAGGGCTGTGGAGTCGCGTAAAAATCTACCGACTCTGACTTTTCCTTACCATGCGACTCCAATCAGGAGCGGACTTGTTACCGAAAGAGACACGGAAATTCTGATGTCATCACGTGACCTCAGAATAAAAGATTCAATAAATAGAGTTCTAATAAAGATAGAACGCAGAAACTTTTTATTCCAAAGCTAAAAGACTCCTCTAAGTAATATACATATATGTATTCAATAACTTTTACTTTTCTGTCTGTTATATATAACAGAGGGAAGGTGTAGCGATTAGTCAAAAAAATGATCCTTCCCAAATTTTTACATTTTTGGACTCAGGACACCTTGAAATTTCGAGATATGCAAAAGATTCGAGGTTTTTTCTATATGTTTTTCTATATGGCATGATTTCGTTTACTCTGTTTGAAGCCTAATAATTTCTGTGGTCAGAGTGGTTGGAATCAGAGTCAGATGGTTTAACACAGGAGTTAATTATTAAGCGTCAAAGTGGTTGAACTAAATCATGTCCCCATATACATTCTAACATCTTAGGCGAGAACATCTTAACGGGTTTTACTGTACTATTATAAAATGGCAAAAAAGCTTACTTTGAGGGTAGAGATGAGTTTTATTTTATTTTTTTTAATTTTGAATGCTAATAACGAGTAAAATATTCATTAAGAGATATGACACATGACCACTTTTATGTCTTCACCCTGTCGACCTTTAATTAAGAACCAAAATTTAATAGTATTAATTTAATGCCCCTTTATACGCAAGCCACAGTGGCACATTTCATTTCTTAAACTTTACCCATTCTGAGATGTTGTTTAATATATCAGAACAAAAAATAAAGAAGTTAAACAAATTAGACACCAACACATACACGCACGCGAATTTTTCCTCTGAATTTTTATTGACTTTTTGAGGAGTTCGAGAGGTCTCCAAATGTGTAGATTTGCAAAAAAACCCGGAGGGTCAAATTTGACACAATTCCAATACTTATCTGTTTTATATACATACGAAGTTGGGAAGTAAAAAGGAGTCGGAATCGGCAGATTTTTTGACGACTCCTACTCCAGCTAAAATACCAAAACTCCACGACTCCGACTCCACAGCCTTGGTTTTTATTTTTGATCCCTAGGTCTAAATTCCATTAAGTGCACTCATTATAAAGAATCTTCCAATACCGGATTAATATAAAAATATCACTTACTAAAACCAATAACCGATATTAAATAATCGTAAAATGTACTGCGAACGTTTTTGGTTCTTTCCCTAGGACCTTTCTCAAGCAGCGTTTCGTCTTTAGAATAACTATGAACGAAGACCCGTAAATAGCGATATTCGAAAAATTATTCTTCCGAACAACATTTCAAAATTCAAAATTCAACGTTAATGTGAATCACGTGCATTCCCGAATTCCGTAAATAAATATAATAAAAAATAAAAATGTTCGGTATAAAAAATTCCAATGCACGATGTTTATATCCTATTTATGAAACGCATTATTAATGCGTATCTTCTTTCTGTATTAGAGCCTGCCATGCAAGGGATAGGGTAATTTCATCCCTCGAGTTAATAGGTTCAGCCGTTTTGTATGCCTTGCAGATCTCCATTTGTTCCAACCATTTGATGTGATCCGTAAATTTAGTGGTAATGAGGAGTTTAGCGTTATCAAAGTCTACCGAAATTTCCGGGTCCGAAGCATACGTGGATAACGAAGTAGTAGCTCTGTTGTGGATGATGTCACTTTTGTGTTCCGCCCATCGGACACCGATCGAACGCTTAGTAGCACCAATGTAGATAAGTTGTCTCTCAAATCTGTGGTCCACGAGGGGAACAGCGTATACCCCTGGCAGCTTATCCTCCTTAGGTTTATCTTTTTCATTGCGTAAAAGCTTAAACATAGACGGACATCTTCTGAACGACAGTCGTAATCCTTGTTTTTTAGCGATTTTTTGGTATAAGGATACGAGGAAGGGGTTGTATGTGACTATTGTGATGGGTAGGTCTTGTTCTATATTATTCCCCTTCTGTGGCGGTGGTAGGCCGA